CATCGTTCCTTTTATTTTATTTTTGTTAGTATAATTTTCTTTATTGTATTTTTTCTATTTTTATTTTACTTTTTCTATGAGCAAGTATCGAGAAGAACGAGGACGATCTGTTGACAGACCTGACACAGAGTTTGAACATTAATAGTGAGGTTGAGGTCACCTCGTGTCTGAGAGCACACATCTAAAAATTGACCGAGATTCCACCCCTTGCAGTGGACTTAGAGTTAGTTCTGACATTGAGTAATATGTTGTTAGTCGGGATTGGTCGTCCTGCTGGTTGGTTTTTATACCCTGTTTATATCTTTTATGCTTGTTTTTTGTCTATTGAACCAGATTATCTTGACTACCTGCACACAGATATGGACTTTGACTTGGACGAGATGTTGAAGTCCCTGCCCGAGCCAGGGAACGATGAGGGATTTGCCCCTATTGACGGTAAGTTTTGGCATGGTTTGCTTTCATTTTACATTTGGGTACTCCTTGATTCGTTATTTTTGTAAGCTTGATAGACTCTATCTTGTATGTATAATGATGAATTTCAACTTAGGGGAGGCCATGGACTCCTTAACGGAGTGTGACGACAGGGTGACGATGACCTTCTTTCCGTTCCATTAAAGGTGAAGAAGACCAACGATGGGGGGACGCTGCGTCATACCATCGAGGAGGTCCCTCAACTTTCTGATGATCCCGTCGAGGTCATTCCACCATTCGAGGGTACAGGAGGCAGTCAGAGTAGTGCCATGCCCGAGCATGAGGGTTCTCCTCTTCCAGATTTCAGATTCTCCCATTCTCGGGGCTATTTAGAGATGAGGGTAGTCAGAACCTTAGTTACACCTAAGCGTGTCCAGTCAATTTCCTATCGGAGTACTGATGACATCGAGAGGGTTCTGGCGGTCGATACTGAGAGGGTAAGTTTTTTTTTACATGCTCTATAGTTGCTTGATCTCTCTTTTTTCTTTTCAGGTGGTGGCTTTTCAAGCTGGGCTTGTCGAGTCAAGCCGTCGCTTAACGTCTGAGTTGAAGACCCTGGAGTGAAAGACGAAAGCCCTTGAACAGGAAAAGGGAACCCTCCCAGATGAGAAGAAGAAAAAGTGTCACCAATATAAGAAGAAAATTTCCTCCTTGAGGAAGTTCTTCGAAGACTCGGAGACCCGCGCTATGGAGCAGGAGTTTGAGATAAACGACCTGCGCTCTATTTTGGCTCGTGCTCCTGAGGAGGCAGTGGAGAGATATAGGGCCTTCGCGGAGTACGCTAAGGATTTGGAGGCATCTGTGGAGCGGTACAAGTTAACTTCTAATTTTGCTAAGGCTTTGCATTCTTATGGGGGGAAGGCGATGGCGGCGTCCATCAAACTAACCAATGAGTGGATATCTGCTGAGCATCCCACCATTGATCCATCAGGCTTTAATAGGTTTATGGCTCAGCGCAAAGGCAAGGAAGGTAGAGCCCCTCAATCCAAGACATTTGGGCATACATCCCGAGGTGAGAGTGATGGGACTTTACATTCGAGTTTACCTGACCTATTGTTGTAGGGCTTCTTAGCACTCTCTATTGTCATGTTATTTTTGTCGTCGAGTTGTTTAGTGATTTCTCCTGGTCCGGGATGTGGACAGACACTCTTATTATATTTTGAGTATGAGCGCTTGCTTTTTTGAACATCATTTTAGTTTTGCTCCCTTCCCCTTTTTTTCGCTCACTGCTATATGCCGAATGGTGTTGGGTGCCGGGCCCGGTGATTTTGAACCTCTACCATTTTCTGCTTTGAAAACTCACCACCAGCCCTTAGTGATTTTGTGCTAGTCAATTTCTTGACTTTTTTGCTCACCGCTATACGTCGAGCTACGTAGAATCGTCGAGGGCAAGGTCAAGTGATTTTGAGCTTTAACCGTTTTCGATTTTGAAAACTCACCACCAACCCTAGAGATTTTGAGCTAGTCAATTCCTTGACTTTTTTGCTCGCCGCTATACGTCGAACAAAAAGTTGGATCGTCAAGGATAGGATCAGGTGATTTTGAACCTTAAGTATTTTTGGTTTTGAAAACTCACCACCAGCCTTAAGCGATTTTGAGCTAGTCAATTTCTTAACTTTTTTGCTCACAGCTATACTTAGACCTAAGTTGGNCTTTTTTGCTCGCCGCTATACGTCGAACAAAAAGTTGGATCGTCAAGGATAGGATTAGGTGATTTTGAGCCTTAACCATTTTTGGTTTTGAAAACTCACCACCAGCCTTTAGCGATTTTGAGCTAGTCAATTTCTTAACTTTTTTGCTCACCGCTATACATTGAGCTACGTAGGATCGTCAAGGGCCGAGTCAGGTGATTTTGAGCCTTAACCATTTTCGATTTTGAAAACCGACCACCAGCCCTCAGAGATTTTGAGCTAGTCAATTTCTTGATTTTTTTGCTCACTGCTATACGTCGACCTATGTTGGGGATGATGAGGTATGATTGTAGTCTTTGCTTCAATCAATCATGGACCGAGATCTCATAGTAGAAATAAAATTGCCAAGATTTGGGGACTCAATAGGCGCACCAGGACGTCCCAACGAGGCTGGCCCTTCCTTAGCACCCTCATCATATGTCGTCGCTTTGGCTTTTCATTGAACAATTCTTAATTAAGCATGCCTGTAGCAGGCATTACATCATGAAAACCCTAGCTACCATATTTACAATAGACAATTACATCAGCAATGAAAATTAAAAAGAAAAAAAAACCTAACGATGTACTGATAATACTTCTTGAGATGCTCGGCGTTCCACGGCCTGTCTAGTGTTTCCCTTCAAGTCCATTAAGATGCAAGCTCCCTTTCCAAGGCTTTGGATGACCTCATACGGTCCTTCCAAATTCGGCCCGAGCTTAGACGGTGGGTGGGCCGCCGCTGCTGCTTCTCTCAATACGAGATCTCCTGACTGAAAAGCTCTTGACTCCACCCTACGATTGAAATACCCAGCAGCCCTCCACTTATATGCTATCATCCTCATAGCTGTTTTCTCTCTCACCCCATCTAGTAGATCGAGTTTCATGCTGGTGGTCGAGACATCAAGTTCTTTAAATTTCATTATGCCAGTCTCGTTAAGGACTTCTACGAGGACAATAGCCTACATCCGAAAGGATAACTTGAATGGGGTTTCTCTGGTGGTTTCTCGTGGGGTCGTGTGATACGCCCATAGAACATTAAGTAATTCGTCTGCCCAAAGCCCATT